AACAATATAGCCTTTATGACTAATTTTGCTAAATCAATTCCTATAATAGAATGTTTTTCATAGAATATAATGCATAATATAATATATTTATATAATATTTGGATTAAGAAATGTATATCACCTTTGACTGGTCCTTTTGATGCAAAAGCTGCTATTGGTTGTGTACAATTTTCTGATAAACTTTGCCACATCAGGACTAGTCCATGATCAGCTTTATCTGTTCCTTTGGTTTTTATATCTATGTTATCTCCAAAGTCTTCTAAACCAGTATAAGTTAACGTTCTACTGTTAACAGCTATACTCGTTCTTAAGAAAATTTCATCTAGAACTATAATTCCTTTTTTCTGGTACTCTGTTTTCCCAGAAAATTTTTTTTTAAATAGATTGAAAAAATTTATATCAAAACCACAACCAATTTTCATAGCTAATAAATGTTTTCTTATTGTCTTGACACAGGGAAATGGTAATATGTTTTGATCTTTTAAAAACTTGTATCCACTTGGTGATCTACATTAATAAAATTTATGATAGGGAAAAATGAAAATAGATCATGAATATTTAACAAATAACTAAAATATGGTAAATAAAGAAAATTGATTTACCTAATTTGGAATAACAGACATAACATCATCCAGTTTTCACTATACCTTCGCCCTTTTGGATTTTTCATTTAAGCTGCTGCAAAAATGTCTTATTAAATTGGATTGGTTAGTATTTATACCAGCAGATTCTAATGATTGTTGAATAGTTGTATCTGAACAATTTTTCATTTTATTCTGTACTTCACTTAAAGTATTTTTCAATCGTTCAATTTCTTGTTTAGCTCTAATAGTTTTTTTTTCATATTTTTTTTTACTGATTGCAAATTATGAATGCGTTTTTGTTTGTTTGGAGAATAAAAACTATCAACATATTTTTTATTTTTTATTCTCAAAAGTTCGGGTTTTTTTATGCTCTTATACAGCTTCTTACACCAACTGAATATTTGACTAGTAGGAATAAAACAAGGAGAAAAACATTTATCAAGTGTCTACTGTATATGGAGTTTTAGTACTATAGTAATATGTCTAAGGGTCTACAAAAAGGGTCTCATTAGAAGTCAGAAAAAAAATGTCCACACAACAAAAATAATGAAAAAATATTGAATAAAAACGTTTGTAAATTAAGCGTAACAATAAAATATGTGAAAAGTATATGGTAAAATCGTATAACAGCTATCAGCTGATCCTTATTTCCGACATTATAATTACCAAGGTACATAACATTAACAAAATACTGAGAATAATATATTATTGTTATTGTTATCTGTATTTTAACAGAAGTTTTATATTCTGAACGGTGCGATAACGGCAATAAACTATAAATATATGGGTTTTCAAATGGTGTCCAAATGCAAAAGCTGGGCACTAACTAGTTAGAAAGTTAAAGTAAAGTTAGAAAGTCACTATTTATGTAACCTTCTAACTTAACTAGTTAGTTTTAATTCATATTAACTTTGTAACTGAACTACTTAGATAAGTGTATATAAAAAGGTGGTTATAAGAAAAAAATATTTAGCTCTTGTAAATTAAACCTATACCAATTATTTCAATTAAAAGTATTAATGCATATTTTACTAAACTTTAGAGGACCATATTAGTAAACTAGCAAACCAAAATTGATGATTTGGCTACCATTTTGATGTTCAATAGCAATCTTAAGTTTTCGTTTTTCACCGCCACTTTTAAATTTTCGATATTTTTAACGTAATCGACCATTTATTTTAATATTACTGTAATAGATTATTAGATACAACCGATGTCAACAGCAAACGCACACACGAAAAAGTAAAAACTAATGCTAATAAAATCGGTCTACTCTCAATAAATATTATTTATTATTATTGTCAATGTTTTTCCGTCGGTGACGACCGACGAGCGACGGCGACGTTTTAAATCTATTATTATCTATTACTAATAAGTAATAACAATTCGACGAAAAAGGCGGTCAGTGGCTACCAGAGATTTTAAATAACCTAGATAACTAACTATCAATATCGCCTATCACATAATCTGAATCCAGCTGTTGTAAACGTCCGCCATTTGTAAAGAGTAAAACATATTATAGAAGCTGATTTTTTTTTATTATTTAGATTAAAAATGTCCTTAATTATTTTTTATACAGATTAGGAATAAATGTATAGTTCATATAAAATATCGTACTACACATAGTAAATTATAAATTATACATAATACAAATTATAAATTATACAAATTGTAAAATATACCTACATTATACAAATTATAAAATATACATTACACAAATTATAAATTTGTAACCTTCATGTTATAGATTATTGGTTTAAAAACAACACAAGTTTATTGAATTTATTTCTTTTACTAGTGCAATTTATAGCCAAAGAATGATTTTTTAAAATGCATGAAATCTTATTTCTAAGTACATGCTAACAACTAATTTGATTAGTTCTAATTTATGTGGGCTTGCCAACATATTTTCATCTTCACGATCTAATTCACCAAATATTTGAAAATTCTGAGAAAAATAGTTTTTAAATAATATTATGATTTTTGTAATATTCATATTACCTAAGTTATTAGTTAAAATAAAAATTATTTTCTCAGTCTCTTTAATTATTTCAAAAACACTAGATGATGCAGAAACTAAACCACCATAATTTTTAATATCAACAAATTTTGTATAAAAATCATTATGAACATAGTTATGATCTGTTTGTTTATTTAATAAGCTTTTCTTGCAGGAAATACAGAAGACTTTTTGTGATATTGTTCTTACAACAAAGCCTGCTTTATAATATAATATATTTAGTTTTTGATCACATATATTACTATATTAGAGCTATCATTATTCATAATTGATATTTTATTTAATAACATCTCATCACCTAGCTCATCATAATTGTTTTCTATACTCTCAATGCCTTGATCACTTACACCTGACTCGGTAAGGTGTACCTTTTTCTGTGCCCATTTTATCTCAAAAATGTTTCCTACAGGATCGTCACCAAGAGCAATACTATTCGCACTTGGTGAAGGGGTACTGCTATTTTTTAAAATTATTTGTTTCATAGCAGTTTTAAATTGGAATACGTTTGGGTTGTTATTTAGGCCATACCTTTTTCTAATACGAGAGAATAATAATTCTATAGATCCTGCGAAAAACGGTAAGTCAATATATGTTTCAAAAATATTTTATTATGCAATAATTCTTTAGCAACAGAAAATTCATAAAGTACAGAAATAGTTAGTCCAATAATAAATGTTTTTTTTACCTAAATACAAAGGATTATCATTTTGATCAGTTAATGTAATAAATCAATGGTAATATAGATTTTTCCAGAGACATTTCCTGATGACTTTGTCAAAAATACCCAATTGGCCATTTAAATTTTCCATTAATTGATACTAACATAAACACTAGAGCTTCTGTAGCTGGAGTATCTACATTTTGTAACTGAAAATCATTTCCAAAGTCACAATATCCAATGAATTTTTCATTTTATATTGACAAATTGAAATTTTTGCAAATGGCGGCATTATCAGTTGGCAGGTATGTTGCGGATTCAATGATAACGGCTAGTTATCTAGGTTATTTAAAATCCCTGTCTGCTACCCGCATCACCAAGGCTAATGTGTTGCTATTACGATAATCTTGTATTATTGATATTTCAATATTTTTACTTTAAATCAACTTCGTTATTTTTATATAATTGTTGATATTTACCAATTATATTATAAAACATACAATTTAAATAGCTACTATGAAAATAAAACAATTTAAAAAAAAAAATTATATACGATTTTTAAGTTCATAAATATATTATATTAAATAGGTACCTTAATATATTATTATATATTTAAAATATTATATAACATAAGATATTAATAATAAGTATATATTTTTATTTGTTGAAAGTGACAATATTTTGTTGTCCATATTTAATAAAATATAATTTAATATGATCAAATGATGCCTAATAATGATTTGTATCTAAAAGTAAAAGTCACTAGTCGTATAATTATTAAATTCAATGTGATAAAGGTTACAAATCATTTAAAATAATGAAACTGTTGCAATAGCCAAGGCTAGGACCACACAATAATATAATATGATTACTACAGTATTACGCGTGGTGTACGTGGCACAGTATATTAATTACTATTAACGAGTGCCACGAGGAAGAGTTAGTTTCTAAAGTACTAGAGGGGCCATAGCGAATACTTAAGTGGGACCTTGTAAAGGACCATGTAATCTGACTGCTGTCTACTATATAAAGGCTCCCCAGCAGGGAGACCAGACACACTATTTCTGCGTGACGACTAGTTGACAGTATTCATGCTAGAGATATTTGTCTTAAGTTGTAACATTACTCTGAGTGTTTTAAAAGTATTAACCACTAACCTTTGGTCAATAAATTTATAATAATAATGAATTTGACTACGTGTTACTTCATTTGATTCGACCTTGTCAACCGAACTCCACATCTGGTTCGCAACAAAACAATAAATTAAAAATATTAACACTTGTTTTAAAAAATCAATTAAAATATTAATTTAATTAATTAAAAAAAATGTATCAGAAATACCCAAAATATTGTGAATAAAACGTTTTTCCAGTCTTCTGAAAATTAGTTTTGACGTCCACTTACTCTATCGCTGGTCCCAACGCCTCCTTATTTTTCGCTTTAGTCATTAACACGATACCTACCTTTGAATATAGTTCGTAAGATTTATGTCTTATTCAACCACCAACTTGCCAAAATCGACCACGATCGTTGATCGAACCAATATATCCACTAATAATCTGATATAAAACTATTTATGAATTACATGTAAAAAAATTATATTTTGGTGTAAAACGAAAAACAAAATTAAATAATAGGTATTATGCCAAAGAAATTCTTTATATTTCTTTATTTTTGATAAATTATAACCGTAGCAATCGATTAGTTGATGCTCTGGGTTATAGAAATACTACTCATTTCATTCTACCTTAAATTCGGGCACTGCAGTTATATAATTACTAATGATGTCTGTAGGAGATAAATTCGTAAAACATTTTAAATACATGTGCTGCTCATTATTTAGTGTTGGCTCCTTCGGTTTCTTCGGTGGTTTTTGTTTAGGTTGCTTCAATCTGTTGGGTAATACCTTTTGCACTCTTAAGGTTGGCAAAGCTGAGTCATACATTTTATTAGCTTCACGTTCAATTAATTTTACTGCTTCACACTTAAATTTGATATTTTTGTACTTCTTTGCTTTACTTTCCTCAATCAAATGTAATATTCGTTCGGTTTTTTTCCATAGAGGTTTGGAGAATTCATCTGAATCGTTGAGTGTTTTATACAATTGTTTAAATAATGATATAATAACTTTAGATGGTCGAGTAAGATCTCCATATGGTTTGTTTAGTTCTGCGTAAATATCCAATGACATCAGTTTTATATTAAATAAAGTGTCATTAAAGAAGATGGATTTGATGTTCTTCAAGCTAGTTTGATTATTTGCAGTTAAAATTTGGTTGATACCATCAATATTTGTCACTATATTCTGTTTCAATTTGTTTTTGTAGTTACGTCTACCATCGTTATACTGCTGCTTATTGTTCGACACTTTATGAGAATTATTAATCATGTCCAAAATTGACATATTATCTCTAGTTTTTTTATCCAGCATTACCAATCTTTTTGTAAACTGTTCTTCAGACTCCCAGTACATTTCTAGTACTGGTTCTAATCGAACTTCTTTAGCAAATTCTTCTAATGGTCTTTGATAAGCGTAACTCATATAGTCATCGTTATTTGTTTTGCTAAAATCGCAATCAGATCTAACAAAATCATAATTTAATTTATCGATTTTAAACTTTTTTTTCCATTCTGGTGGACTTAACCATGTTAAAATCATATAACAACCTTCTGGTATCATTATTCGTTTCAATAGTCTTAGTACTTCATTCTCTACACCTTCATATACATGCGTACACTCTTCCAATTCGTTTTTTGGAACTTTTGTATTATCTATTTCGAAATTCACTTCATCTTTAATATTTTTTAGTCGATTTTCTATGTAGTCAATAAATTGTGAATACGATTTTTTTACTTGTCTAAATTGACGGATCTTGGAGATATAGTCATTATTATCTTGTCTAATACTATTGTTAATAATTGACCACTGTTTATCAGTATACAAAATCGATAGTTTTATATATTCCATTTTTTCTATATCTAAATCATACCTTATATAATGTGTATTCAAATTGTTGTATAAATATTGATGATTCACTAATTCAATTATATCAAGAGGTAATATTTTTTCTTTAGCATTCAACATTTTTTTAAAGGCAATTTTTTCACTTTTTGATTTTACGTTAGTTAAATGTATTATATCATCAATAGTTACATTTTTCTTAATGTCACTTAGTTTTTTTAGTACCTTAATCTTAAAAATATCTTCCTTTATTTTGAGTTCTTTATAATTTTCGGTTTTTTCTTCTAGTTTTTCTGGTAATTTGAGAATTAATTGTTTTGCCTTTTCTTTAAATTGTATGTTTGAAACTGAATAAGGTCCCAAAGAAATCATTGAATCAGAGGAATTAATGTTAAGGTCCATTACTAAATTTTTAAAAAAAAAATTATATGAAATTAAAAATATAAATTTTTTATGTTTTTAAATATATGATGTAAACAAACCGTAGTTATTGTATTGCCTTAGATACAAATACGGTAATGTATATATATAAATGCATTAATAAATGACTTACTTTTGTGATTTTAACTTAATTTTTAAGCATTAACACTGTAATGATTAATGAATGTCATAAATTGTTATCATAAAAATATTAAATATTTGAACCAGTAAATAAAATAATATAAAACGTCTTATAAGATGTGTCTATAATTTTTTTCTTTTTTTTTTTTTATACATATATACACACATTCACAATATAAGCTAAATATTAAATACTAAATATGAACAACCTTGGTGACAGAAAAAACATATTATATTTGAAATTATTATTTATAAGAATTCTTATAATTATAAAAGTATAAAACAATTTAACACACAAAAAACCAAAATTTACTTGAAAATATTATTAATTTTAAATTACAAATTAATAAATAATTATTATTTTAAAAAGTTATTTTTTCGAGCTTTTTTGTTGGCGAAATTGTCAATTACTTGATTTATATTCAAATCTTGAGTTCTGTTACGTTGAATATTTAGTACCTATACTGATATTCGTAAGTCTTTCTTGTGCCATAGAGTTCCTCAAATAATTTTTTATAATTTTGAGCTTGGAAAAAAAACGCTCTGCTGATGCTACTGTGTCAGGTAATGATGTAAAAATTACACAAGCACGTAAAACATCTTTGTACAAAGATCCTAAATCATTTTCTAAAATACATTTTGCTAGTTCTTTAATAGTTTTGATTTTTGAGAGTGATTCAGTTAATATTTCTTTTATTGATAATACTTGTCTTGTAAAATCTGATCTTATATCTTTTTCATAAAATATAATAAAGTCATTTGTTGCCTTAACAAGATTTTCTTCACTGAATTGTAACATATTTTGTGGTTGTAAAAAGTTAAACTTATCAACAACTTCTTGTATGCCTAGAAAACGATATTTAAGTTGTACTAAAGCTGTATCAATGGCAGGTAAAAATACTTTAACTTTGAGATTATCTTGTGCTATATCATATCGTTTATCTCTATCTAAATCACCGAAAAATGTTTTAGATAATACTTTTTGTTTTGTAATGTTATTGACTGGTATGCCCCAACTGTTACACAAGTCTGTGGCTGAATTAACAAGACACTCATAATTATCTCTTAGATTTTTAATGGATGTAATAGCCGATTGTAAATATTCACATGCAATATGAAGATTTGTTTCAATTGATTGCATTTTCTTGGAAACTAAATAAAACGGTCTTAAAATTTGTTCCCATAAAAAAAGAATTAATAAAAATTCAAAAGATTCAAGCTTTTTTTTCAGACCTTTAGCTCTATTATTTTCTTCTTTTTTATCACTAGTTAAAATTATACTTGTTAATGATTTTAATACATCTTTATATCGAAACTTCAGGGCAAAAACGGCATTATTATTATATTATTATAACGTACAAATATACAATATAAATATACAATATCCAGTGACCTCCAGTATACTCGGTTATCGGTATTTTCAATGATAATTATTGATACTCTTCTAATATTATTTCATAGACTTCTATTTTATTCTTGTAGTTTTATTACTCAATGTCTATGGGTTGATATAATTTCCACGCATAAATATAATTATCAAGCAAACATTTCGTGTTTTTGCGGGCCCCACTTAAGTGGAAAGGAGGCTTATTTTGGGGTGCTACGCACCCCCAGTCACCCGCTAGTTGCGGCACTGGTATGAACGATTGTTTACATTTTTGTCGTACACTTATCCAATTTCCGCGACACAATTCTTGTGCCGGTCTGAACATGTCCGAAATAACCGTCGACTGTGGAATTAATCGACTGTCAGCTTTTTTGTTGAACAAAAACAGTTGACAGTCATGTTGTACAGTTTTGTCTAGTGCTTTTAAATAACAATTATAATTATCCACTGGAAAAAAAAAAAAAGTTTTACGCTTTTTAAATAAATTTATTTATTTTATTTATTTAAGTATAGTTTTTAACGAAATATTAAAAACTTAATATTATGTCATAATCAAAAAAAGAATGGACAATTAACGAAACACACAATTAATATTTGATTATGAAAACAATCAGTGTTTATGGAATCCTGTTTATGGAATCTTGTTTATGGAAGATATTAAATATAAAGATAAACTAGCTCGAGGAGAAGCTGTTCGCCAATTAGCTGTGTAGCCAACTTTTTGTAGAAAAATACTAAATAATTTTTCTACTTCGTCCTGGTTTAACCAATAAAACTGATTTCATTGTTATTGGATTTTTCTTCCTCAAAAAAATGAAGAATGCCTGTTATCGTTTGTATAATGCCTTTAAAACATGGAGATTTAGTAATTTTGCCATAAACTATAGAAATTGTTCTCCTTGCATCCATCCCGACTTATTGGATGTGCCTACACAGCCTGGTGGACCTCCTCTGATAAAATGGTCTTTGTAATTGACTCTTGGGAAAATAAACATTAGAGGAATAGCATTACCCACTGCATTCACTGCCAAACACATAGTTACCAGTGTCCCACGTTCAGCCGAAGTGATAGCACCAATCTGTTTTTCCCCTTCTGAGCAACTACTTTACCTGGGTTTTGTACAGTTGTGATACCAGTTTCGTCCAAATTAAATATTTGATGAGCTTCAAATTTATATTTATTAAGTTGACAATCGTATTTGTCCATAAACATATTTACATTTACTGGATTGAATTTAATTGCTTTTGACAAACTTGTTGATTCTGGTTGGCGAATCGACAAAGTTGAATTGCGTTTCAAAAAATTCTTAAACCAGTCAACACCAGCTGATCTATTTTCAGTCCAATAAGTTGTACCCAGTCACCCCTACATCGCGCAGCCACTTCGCCTGTAAATCGCAAAAATCGTACAATATGTGTACACTTTTATTTTTCTGGAGCCCAAGTCCCTCGAGTGCCCCTTTCGAAATATACAAATTTTGAATCTACGTTAGTCACCCTTTCGATTAAAAATGGTTTGGGAAACATAATTTTCCGTGTTCATTTCCAAATAGCCGTCTTAAGTACATCGCGCAGCCACATAACCCGTAAATCGCAATTATCATATAATTTAAATTGTATTTTTTTTCTGGAGCTCAAGTCAACCACGTGCCGCACTTGGGTAGTACATAATTTAAATATTTATTGAACGCAATTTTGAGTAAAAATGGTTTGAAATATATATTTTTTGGTGTTCATGCCACCAAAGCCCTTTCAAGTATACCACGCCATATCCGGCAATATTGTAAACATCGTATAGTTTAAATCGTATTTTATTTTCTGGAGCTTAAGTTCCCCACGTGCCGCACTTGGGTAGTACATTTTTAGAATCTCTATTGAATTCCTTTTCCATTAAAAAATGTTTAGATAACATAATGTTTGGTGTTCATGCCGAAAAATCGGTTCTAATTAGACCACTCAGCGGCTAAGCCCATATAGCCGCTAACCTCCGATTGCCCTCTCCAAAATATACAAATTTTGAATGTATATTGGTGGCCCTTTTTGTTAAAAATGGTCGGAAAAACATATTTTTGGTATAAAGCCTTCAAAAATATACTAATAATTTTGAATCTATGTTAGTCACCCTTTCAAGTACAATAGGCTTGGAATACATACATTTTCTAGTTCGTTTTGAAAAAGCCGTCATAGGTAAGTAGGTACATATTGCAGTAGTATAAATCGTAAATCGTAAACATCAGATGGTTGATATCGTATTATTTTTTTAGAGCTCAAGTCTACCGTGTGCCCTCTTAGAAAACTACAATTAATGTCGAATCTTTTTTTTTTTTTTTTTTTTTTTATTTGAAAAAAAAAAGGCTTCGACATCACAGATCATTAGCCTAGCATGAATTAAGAGTACAAGACAAAATATATTATGGCTTAATGACTACGGAAAGGGTTTTTACATTGTTAGAGTTTGTTTATGAGGTGGATTTGAGTAAAAAAAGAGATAATTTTAATAATATTATTTTCGTTTAGTGCTTCATCCATATTCGGTGGTATAGCTAGATTGTTTCTTGCGTCCCTGTACTTTGAGCAATCCTGGATGATATGTTGTATTGAGAGGTCGGCGTGGCATTCGTCGCAGGTGGGAGGTGGGTTTTTGTTGATGAGAAAAGCGTGGGTTGTGAAGGAATGTCCGATTCTGTATCTTGTGATGGCAACTTCCTGGCGTCTGTTGAGGAAGTACGGTGGGTTCCACTTTTTTGTGTTTTTCTTGACTGATTTAAGCTTGTTGGTAGGCGGAATAGCATCCCAATGATTTTGCCATCTAGAATATATTTTACGTTTGATGGCTGATTTAATGTCATTAGTTGGTAGGTCGGAAATTGTTGGGTGGAGGATAATTTTGGTTGCAAGGTCAGCTGCCTTGTCAGCCATTTCATTGCCAGTAATACCAATGTGTGATGGAACCCACATAAATTCGATGTTTTTGGTGGTCGATTTAAATATTATTTGGATATTTTGGGTAGTTTCGTTTGAGGGTAGTGGGTTTTGAAGGGCAAGTAAAGCACTGAGTGAATCACTTAAAATTAGAATGTGGTTTGAGTTGATAGTATTGGCTAATATGATAGCTTCATTAATGGCTTGAGATTCAGCCGAGAATATTTATCTGATGCCTTTTCAATTACAAAATGAATTTTAAATTAATTTTGGTGTTCAGGCCGAAACAGGCGTCTAAAATGTACTTTGCAGTAGAATCGTACTTGTGTCTACTAATTTATGTGGGGTGTTAAATTGGATTTGTTTTAACTTCTAATAGTTAAGGAGGATTGTTATTTGTAATGTCCCATTAATAGGATAGTGAACAAAATATTAATGATATATCCACTACTTTACTTGTATTGGCAGTATTTGGAAAAAAAATTGAATTAAAAAAGGTTTGTTATTATGTGTTTCCAAGAAAACTAAAGGT